GAATAGAGGATTTATCATCACGGGTCTGTTACGAATCAACTTAACGGCCTGCACCCTGAGTTGGCTTGTTGGCTCAATTGATAGAGGTCAGTGGTTCGAATCCCGTACAGGCCTGATTTTTTTCATGTCTGATTTTCGCTATTGCATAAATAGCGCTCTCTACTGCGAGGATCGTGCATCATAGGCATAGTTATATTACTCACCGACTTGAGGGCTCGTGTTACTTAGAAAGAAAGTGGCACACATAGAGTTCTGCGATGACCTGTGGTTGGCTGCAGCAGCCAGGTGTCCCCTGTCATATCCACTACCCCTAACAGAAAAATATCAAACTTATTGGAAAACAACCTGTCTGGGGCATTCAGTTAATTAGTAAAGTTGAGCAATATAGTTCAGGAAGAGAGGTTTGGGTATGGGTTGAAAAAAAAAGGGTGAAAATTGGGTTGGGTTGCTTCCTGGCCCCGAAGCCTCCTGCTGCAATGTTTCTTTTGATCTGTCAATGCAGTACCCATTAACAAGCTGAACTTTTATTCGTAACCCTTAAACTCCGAGAAGTGATTAACATGCAACTTCTCCCTATAATATCCCTACATTATTTATTTAAATTTATTTATTTCTAAGCAATATTTATACAAGCAGGTCCAATTCAGCTAAGGCTGGTTTAAATGGAGGCCTGTGTACTGAATAATCTACTTAGAAATACTTAAATTAAATCTAACTGAAATAATGTATATCCGGGAAACAGATGATGAGAATAATCAAACTCATCAGATTGTACTTGTTATCTTGATCTAACACCAGATTCTCGTAACTAATTTACAAGGAAATGTGTAGCTGCTAGAGGGGAGAATTTACAATCAGATCTTTGGAGTTAAAGGGTTTTCTCCATTCACTCAATACCTGCCTGTTTGACAAAGTTACAAAATTGAACCAAGAATTTACACTCAGATCAGTCTATTGGGGTAAAAATTAATTAGTTTACTTATGGGATTTCTCAAACTAACAGTGAAAATTTAGTATTATAAAATAATATATAACTAATATAAATAACTTGGAAT